CGCCATCCGTTCTGGCTCGCGAGTCGCAGTACCGCTTTCTGTGCAAAAAATACTCGAGCCAAGCTGCTCATCAGCAGCTCCAATGCGCGAGGGATGTCCTGCTCTGAACGGGCTCCAAGCTTTCTATGGACTTCCTATCTCCAACACCTGATGCAAAGAGAAGGGACTCTCCACCTTTGCCGGGTCCAGCTCACATGGGCATTCCTAGGCATTTGGAAGCAGTAAACTCCCTAGACCACTCACCCAGTTTCCCCTTTTGGCAGTTGTAGTATCTTGTATTTTCGGCCGTGGCAACCGCAACCGCTAGTTTGAGAGGCATGACATCTTGCTTCCAAAACATCATGAAAAAAGCGCGCGCGAGGCGCGTTCGGGCGAAAGTTGATTGTTGGGCCAGCTTGATGATGTGATGCTCAAGACGAAGATGTTCCACGATGTTCCACGCATACTTTGAAAGAGAAGATCGGCTTCCGGAACATTACACTTTCAACGAGAGAGCGCGAACGAAAGGCACAGTATACATTCCAATGCGTGGGCAAACGGTATGCATGCTGATGCACCATTATGCATCCTAATGCATCTTCAGCTGAAGTTCTGCTCATGCGTGGAAAGTTCTGGGCGAAACCACCTGAGCACGCACAAACGCAAGAATACGCAAACCGAACCTCTGAACATCATGCAACTGCCATAATCTTGTTCAATAGCAATTGAAGATGTCTGCATGGATCACATGCTTGTGAGCAACTGATTTTGCAACAGCTGGAGTTTTGATTGCGCTGCAAGACGGCAGGGCTCCGAATGGCAGATTTCCCTTGGAAGCTGTTAAGGCCAATGTTGTCTGCAACCTTCAAACCGGCACTACGCACGCACCATCTTGATAAAAGGCGCATCACGTCGAAAGAAGTAGCGGCAGTACTGTTCAAAGGGACCCATATGCTGCACCGTGCCTGCACGCCAGTCCTCCTCACATTGGACCAAGGCATCGCACACTTGGTCGTCACTGAATTGTGGGAGGATGTCCTTCACCTCACGAGGCCCCGGACTTCACTTCACATGTCCACCTTAGGCCTTGACAGCGTGTACTTCGTAAAAGCATAGTCAAGACATGCCTGCATGTTGCCGTGTGGGTCGCTGTGTCCAAACAGACGCCATCATTGCACATTGCCATCAGTTGGCAAACTGCTCAGTGGCAAGCAGCGAAACATGGACAGCAAATGGTTTACAGCACCCCGTGGCTTCAATCCCATCCCAGGCCACTGAAAATCCACATGTTAGCAGGACGTGTCAAACTTCTGCCATAAGGCCATAGGGTTGACGCTGGGATCGCATTGTATTCCGAAACGGACATGACTTCTATGCGCCCAACCGCAAACAACAATATCTTCAGTGCAGATGGCACCCAATCCATTCCCGTGACGACATGGACACGTCCGCATCTGCCAATTATCTGTCCATGGTCCATGGTGAGCGGAGCCTAAACACCTTGGCGTCCTTGACCATTATTCAGCTTCCCCTCGCACCTTGCCCTTTGCAAAGTGTAGCTGGGATTGGTTTGCATGCCGCCGTTCTTGCCGCATCTTGCCGCCTCTCCTACTTGACTTCTGAACTCCGCATGGCCACACCCAAACAAGGCTTCAACACGCAAGGCTACGGCCCTTTGAATCTGCAGAAACTCTGCTTCAGACCGGCCAGCTCAATGGCTCACTATGGATAGGCGATGTCTTCTTTACCCACCCCCCTTCAGGCTGAACCCCCGACCTGTCGCACCAAGCCCGTGTAGTCTCTCGCCCTCGGAACGGGACACGATAGCTGCAACGCATGCAACTTGGCGAGTGCCCGACTGTTGCGGAGAAGAGTGCACCCCTGCGTGCTTGAGATTGGCAGAATGAGACAGTAACTTTGCTTTGTACATAGTCTGCGTATACATCTATTTATATATATAATATATATGTATCCATCTGCATACTTTGATATATATTCTAGTATTCTGTAAACTTGGAGGGTTACACGGCGCCGCAGGCACCTGTCATTCAGGAAGTGGCTAAAAGCAAAGCTAGTCCATGATTCTTCCTTCATTCTTTTGCGGTGCTCGGTTGGGTCAGACACAACCAAACTGGATCAATGTGCCCAGGCCGGTGAACACTCCATCATGTGCAACATGGCGAAAAAGGCTGATGCAGTGCCACAAGTATTCCCTTTAATCCTTTGCAAGTCTTTCCTCTCATGTCTTCCGCTTCGTGGCAACCCCCGAGTTCACCTCCGGTCATAGGCCCCAGCTGAGACCCTATGATGTCTTTCTGCGCCGACGACAGAAGTGCCGACGGCATCCTGAGGAACATGCGCGGTGTGAGCCATTTGACCCGCTTGCGGTGCAATTGAGACAGCACAGGAAAGCCAAAGGGTCCAAAGGTCAAAAGCTCGTGAGTTCTCCGCTTCGAGTTTGGAAGACAGTGGACTTCAGATATTTCTGCCCACCATGGCCACCAGCCCACCTTTCTGCAAATGGCGAAGACAATAGGAACGTCTGATGGTGGTTTGGGGGGAGGGCTCCCTCTTGCCACACTGCACCAACCCAAAAATCGATCTGGGCCCCTGGGCACAAGTTCTTGGGACATCCTAGGAATCTCCGCGTCGTGCAACCGCTGACATGGAACATGGGGAGCACCCCCCTTGCGAACGCTGGCCTGGCCTGGCCAGGTTCGGCCGGAGTGGCAGTCCCAGTCGCAACCGTGGCCCCTTGAGCCCAACACGAGTCAAAAAAACATAGCACATGGCGGCATGCTCTTGGACTGGGTTGTGCGCTCAAGAAATGTATGCCATGCATCCCTTATCCCATATCAAATGTAAAGGTTGGTACACCCCGCCCAGTTTTGAAAGGACTATGTTCGCGGCACGTCGCCCACAGTCAAGTTGTTATTTGCTTGCAAAGGCTGCAACCCAGCACTCAGCTGCCAATGGCACTTGGACAACCCTACGAAATCAGCTGAGCACCAACCACCAAAGAATCACTAAATCGCTGTTTGTGTGGTACTTAAGGAGAACCCCACGGGCGACTTTATTCGGCCGTACTACAAAAGCAGGCACCAAAAAGCCCAGTCACTGAAGGCCACTGCGCTGTCTGGCGCCCTAAACAGTGGGCAAGGTGCTCTCTGGATGACACGACGACTTACACAATCTTACTGCTTCTGATACCCCTGGCGGGACCAAACCATTCACCCCGTTGATCGTCAAAAAGCTAGATTGAATGCGCGGTGGTCGAATAAACAAAAATATCATGGTGTAGGGGATCCCACACCGGAGTTCACTTGAGCGGATGGGTATCTCGCCTGAGCCACCCGTGCTGGACAGGCTGTACCTTTTTGATGTGCCACGGTGCGAGCGGCCGAAGTCCGCATCTGCATGAGAAAATTGATGGAAGCCGACGCGCTCATGTTCCCTGGCTCTCCTGCACAATATGCACGCGCTTCAAGCCTAGGATGTCGATCAATTTGAGCAGGGAATTGAGCCCATCCGCGGCTAAGCATCTTGGACGCCCGCACGCTTGCAGTCGAGCCACACGAGCAAAAGCCAGCTACTTTCTCAAGGTAGGGTCGTCAAGGTAGCCATGTCCAAAACTAGCCTGATTCACATGGATTGTTGAGGGCAAGCTGCAAAGGAAAACACTTGGGGTGACATGCACGACACCATGATTCATTGTCTTCCCCTGCCTAAATCTGTGAAACGGGCGCCAGGATTTCCAGCCATGAACATTGCTCGATTGCTGCAACGCAAGGAGGGCAAGCGGCAGGGTATTTGCCGCCTGTACAGGAGGAGCTGGAAGTATCCAGTTTGCGGAGCATTTTGCGTGTGGCGTGTTTTTCGCACGACTTCCGCTCTCTTCAAGCCTTGCATGAGCTGGTCCAAGGCATTCTGCAAAGTTCCCCGCTGAAACACACTTCAGACCGTGGACAAATGATCTAGAACTGCGAATCCAGCGATGCTCAGAACAAACCCAACATGGCAGAACAATTGCCTAGCAGCAAGTCAACCTGAAAACGCATTCAAGAGATAAGGCAAGGGTAAATGCTAAGACAGAAACAGGCACGACAGCCAACTGGGCCACGGGCATGGCAGGTAGTGAGAAATGCGAGACCAGCTCCCGGAAGGCTTGGTTGCAGCCAACTGGCCACAGGTCGAGCCAAGATGTCTTCGGATGTGCCAGTCACTTGCCAAGTGGCCACCGCGGAAAAAGGGCTTGTCCTTAAATGAATGTTCATTGCATCATGGAGGTAAACGCGGCAAACCAGGAAGCGCTCACTTGCCATGGAGATGCGGTAGATGTGCCACCGATTAAAATGCGTGAGGTCATGCGGCCTTTGCCTTCAGCTTAGCTGTGCCTAAGTTGTAAAGTCTGCAAAACGACCGCTCACCACTGGCATAAGTCTCAATCTCAGCCAAAGTGAGAGGCCAAAGGGAAAATCCTAGGAACAACTTTTGATTTTGATAGCTAGGAGACTGCTAGGAGCCAGCTTCTAAACTTACTAAAGGTGTTGAGGCTTTATTGACATTCACAAATGTCATGCAACACCTAGCTGTGAAGAGGTTTTAAACATCTTTAGAGCATCTACTCGACAGGCCACAATTTGCAAATCGGAAGCGGTCTGCTCTCCCTATGCCGAACTGCTGGCTTGAATTCCGATCCGTGCAGCTGAATCCAGGTTTCCCGGATGGCTCGAATTCACCTGGCCCTCGTTGCCAGAACGCCATGCAATGTTTGGTGTGAAGGGGGCTGGCACTGTTTCATACGCTAGGCCTCATCTGTGAATCTTAAAGACTTGGAGTGATTCTTGGACAGGGGTGATACGTCTCACGTAATATGCCGCGACCCAGTTGATTCTGTTTCATTCCTGTGACCCAAGGTCGCGGTACATTGGCCTGCGGCCGGACCCGACTGACATGTTCCACGGTGCGTTCCATTGCGGCACGTGCTGTGGCACGGCGCCGCCCGCTCTCCCGACTCCGTGCTAATGAAAGAACCTCAGGCGCAGCGAAAGGCGGGTCATCCAAACCCTGGGGGTCGAAGGTGTTTGCGCCAAAGACATGTACAAAAAGTGGCGGCTCATATGCCTGGTTGGGCCTGCCCCCTAGCCTTCAACTCCCCGAGTTCCGGTTAGTGCTGAAAACAAACCGAAAGGGCTACCAACTGCCCCACCTCATTCTGAATGCCGCCTAAACTGGGTGAATGGTCACAACTTGTCCCAACCTGCGACTTTGGTCCACTTCAGGTTAAGTTAACTTAATCGCACTAGCAACCGTGCTCATCCGCGGTGTCCCCTGAAATGGATCTGGCTTTGCTGGGTGGTGAATAGCGCCATAAGGGGTCTGCAAACTCAGGAAACTTGGTATTGAATACAATGGGGTCTGGCCAACGGTAGGAACCCTGCTTGCGGAGTCCAGGGTGCCGCAACATCTAAATTGGCCCTCCACCCAGCCCTCCCCACGGTTTGACAACCAGTCACGAGTTCACCAAACTGTCCAACACATGGAGCACATACCCAACAAGGGAGGATCTCCCACATGTGGCTTGGTCATTCCAACAATTGTGAGTGCCTTGCTGGCGCTGTACCTTTGTTTTGCCAGGCGTATTGTACGCTTTGCTAAGCGAGCTGCTTGTTTCGACCACATACACTGGATCCCATGCGGAATCAGCCCGTGGTGTCCCAAATGCATGTGCTCGAAGCGTTTTTGGAGGTTCACTTTTTCTTTGTATGCGAGGGTCCGAACCATCAATACGAAGCCAGCCAGGCGCATTCGGATTCCTGTGCACCCCGGACGCGTTGCCAGGCTTCCGGTGCTTCTCTGCCTGAGTAAATCAAAAATATACCCGAAACATGGCTACCCCTCTGCAAATGACATGAGACCCCCAAAATCTCTCATGTGTAGAGGCGTCTCCTTCTTTTGAGGGAACCGTTTGTGGGGTTCCATGGTTATTTGCAGCGAATAGCTTCCTTGTGGCTTCTCAAGCAACCTCAATGGCTGACCGACTTTGGCCACAGGTCCATATGCAAGTACACCATGGTCTTTGCAAGCTTAGCCCGCGGTCTCGTTTGGAGGGGAACTGTCTTCCAGGCGCCATGCTAGTGCACGGGCGGCTGAAATGAGACCAACTAAAAAACATGGCCAAACTTGGGTCCCCTGCATGAAAAGGGAAATGAAAGTTCGCCAGAAAAGGCGAAAAGTCAAAAAGGGGGCAAAAGGCGTGTGCAGTTGAGGCCCTCGCTAGTTTCAAAGGCGACTCTGGCAAAATGCCATCGGGCATCTCTTCCGCAACCTGGCGAAGTTGCTCCAAGAACGTCTTGATCCTGCCTAGTGACCGTAGTTCACAAAAATGGAACCCTCTTTGTGGCTCCTGTCAAAGTAGTTCAGCAAAGCAAAAGGCAGGATGGGCACATCGCATGTGAGACAAACTGCCAAAGACTGATGCGCTGGTCCAAAACAGCAATGTCCAGCAGAGCGGCACAAGTAATCCGTGTTTGCTCCTTCCTCACCCCCCGCTACCTAAACAACTAGTTGACTGAACCACGGGCAAAACAAGGCCCCGCAAGCTTGGCAAAGCCTCCAAAACCTGAGCAGGCAAAACACGTGGCAGCGGGCAAATGTAGAGGCAGCCAGCACGCGCCTGGGCCGGAACTCATGAACATCCATAAGTGTTTCCGAGTGCATTTTTTGTTGAGAGATGCCTTTTAAACCTTGCCCGAAAGGGAAACAAGAAGGAAAGCCTGCACGTTTGGGATCGCCAAGGTTTGACACAGCCCAACATGGGGAGTGTTACCCCACGCTGCCACTATGCAATTTCCAGCCACGAACAGTGTCATTTGCCCAGGTTTCTCAGCATGTGGTCATGCCGACGGAAAAAGGGTGAATGCTAGTTGAAGACATGTTAACCTACGCTTGTCTCATATGCATGAATACAAGGTACAGTTTGAAGAAATGGTCTCGTGCCACAACTGCCATCGAGCTGAGATGCTCAATTGCTGAACCACCGCGGCTTGGGCTGAAGGAGAAACTGAGAGGCGGCGGTACCTTTCTCCCACAAACGTGGCATCTGCATCTGAACAACACAAGTCTCCTCTTCAAGGGATCCCCTGTTAGGTGCCATTCTAGTGGAAGGGAGTGTACAGCAGGTCCTTTACTTCTCCGTGTCTCAGCTCAATTGCCAAGGGCGTGCTTTCCAAATTATTTCAAGCCGCCTGACTCCATTCTTCAAGTTGGCATGCTCACAAGGTCAGGGCGCCCCGAACACAGGCATGGAGAGCTCTAGGAAGTGAACACTTGAAAAGGACACCTTGCCTCAGGTGATTGACCGCCCCAAGCAAATGAAACGTGTTAGGTGTTTGACCTATTTGGCGCGGAGCACTTCCCGGCAGAATCAAGCACCAGCGCTATACAAACGATGCCCTGGTCGGCCAAGGCATCCGCGAGGACATCATGGGATCGCAGTCCAGGATCCAGGCGATAAACCTCATCTCAAGGTCAAAAGCACCTTTCAGAGTTGGCGGTTGGGTACTTGGCCATGTTCAGACTTTGTTGGGCGATGGCTGTTGTTGTTGCTTTGTCCCCAAAATAGGAAGCTGAGGGGCTGTCGCTTTGTGTGTTTGGGGGGCCGGTTCCCCGTTTTGAATCAGGACATCAGGGCCTTCACTGCTGGTCACAAACGTTGCAACCACAGTGGGGGGCTGTAAAATAATGCTTGCCTAAACTTGTTGGTGTCCCTTTAGCTTCAGCCCTTGGAATACCAACCGCAACATGCTCAATCATTGTGAGAAACACTTCAAATTTGGGCGCGATTCTCCTTAAGCCCTCCAAAAAAACAGACCGTGTAGTGGCCCAATTGTCCGTTAGGGAGAATCTGCGTGTGCCCTGAGAAAGTATTTGATGTCACCCAGGATACAAGCTGCCCATGCTCCAAAACCTGAATTCCTGGGCGGGTTGGCCAAAACAAGTCCAAACGGTTTGTTTGGAAACACGGCCCCGCGCTTTCCGTCCGCACCGTCCGCGCTTGGGCCGCGGCTCCGCGTAGTGGATGTACCCGTCGCAGTCTGCGTCCGCCTGACGGTTAGGGCAAACAGCCCGAGTGCAAGCCGAAGGTGGCAGTGCACCAAACAAACGAAGGGTGCTCAATAAATGTGCGGCCATGCGGACGAATCTGTGGCCCGCCTGTTGCGCCATCTGCTTCACCTTCTCTTCTGTGAAGAGGGCCTCTCACCCCCCATACAGAGTCAAGCCAACCTCTAATATGCAGACGGGGGGGGAATACCACTACACCAGGTTCTGCTGGCATGGGGTGGTGATCAGATTATCCTCTTGAAATGAAGACAGGCCGCGAACAACTGCAGCTCGACGGAAGACTGTCCGAAACACTCGGATTTCGTTTTGACCTGGTGTGACTGAAATGGCGTGGAGCAAGGAAGAAGGAGAAAGATATGAAGATGAGTATCGATTTGCCTCGGTTTTCCAGAGCTTTTGTCGGTTCGGTGCGATACGTTGATCATGGCTTACGACCGAGAACAGTATCGAACCGTTACCGTACCGTTTCGAACCGACAGCGGCGGAACCGTGTTGTCACCCCTCAAACAAGACATTCATTCCGGGCAGTGAATCGTACCGTTTCGCACCGAAACAGTTGCAATTCTAGACAATGTGAATTGATTCGAACCGAAGAAAACGAATCGTATCGCTTCGAGCGCGCTACAACCATGTTGATTTGCAGGGACAACCCAACAAAAAACCCAATTCGGGGCTCTTTGATTTGCAGTTGGAGAAGCAATAAGCCTTGAGGGGTCTACCCATTTTTTTTTGGCCTTTCCAGAAAAAGGTGCGCACAAACATCACCAGGCTCTCAAGCGTCATGCTGCCCCCTATGTCCAAAACGACTACATTCAGGCATGGCCTTTTACTTCCCATTTGGTGCCCCTTTGTCACGACATTACCCGCATCATTCCAACGTTCCCCAGGCTAAATCCTTCCATCAAACATGCTGGAGGCATCACCCGCATCATTCCATGCCCCGTATCATTCCAGCCTGCAGGTTGCCAACCTGCAGGCATGCCGGAGGCATCACCCGCATCATTCCAGCAATTCCCGGGCTTTGTTTGATGCCTGCAGGTTGCCAACCTGCAGGCATGCATCATTCCAGCAATTTCCAGGCCTTGATGCCTGCAGGTTGCCAACCTGCAGGCATGCCAAAGGCATCACCACCGACATTCCAGCAATTCTCAGGCGTTGATGCCTGCAGCTTGCCAACCTGCAGGCATGCCGGCGGCATCTCCCACATCATTCCAGCAAGTTCCAGGCTTTGATGCCTGCAGGTTGCCAACCTGCAGGCATGCCAAACGCATCACCCACATCGTTCCAGCGATTCCCAGGCTTTGATGCCTGCAGGTTGCCAACCTGCAGGCAACCCGGAGGCATCACCCGCACGATTCCAGCAATTCCCAAGCGTTGATGCTTGCAGGTTGCCAAACTGCAGGCAACCCGGAGGCATCACCCACATCATTCCAGCAATTCCCAGGCTTTGCAGGTTGCCAACCTGCAGCATCACCCACATCATTCCAGCAATTCCCAGGCTTTGATGCAGGAGGCATCACCTGCATCATTCCAGGCTTTGATGCCTGTTGCCAACCTGCAGGCATGACGGAGGCATCATTCCAGCAATTCCCAGGCTTTCATGCAAACCTGCAGGTATGCTGGCGGCATCACCCACATCATTTCAGCAATTCCCAGGCTTTGCTGCCTGCAATTGCTAACCTACAGGCATGCCGGCGGCATCGCGCATTATTCCAGCAATTCCCAAACGTTGATGCCTGCAGGTTGCCAACCTGCCCATTCCAACATTCCCAGGCTTTGTGGCAACCCTCAGGCCTGCCGGAGGCAGCATTCCTGCAATTCCCAGGCTTTGATGCCTGCAGGTTGCCAACCTGCAGGCATGCCAAAGGCATCATGCGCATCATTCCAGCAATTCCCAGGCATTCATCCTGCAGGTTGCCAACCTGCAGGAACGCCGGAGGCATCACTCGCATCATCCAGCAATTCTCAGGCGTTGATGCCGGAGGCATCACCCACATCATTCCAGCAATTCCCAGGCGTTGATGCCTGCAGCATGCCAACCTGCAGGCATGCCGGACGCATCACCTTCATCATTCCACCAATTTCACCTCTTTGATGCCTGCAGGTTGCCAACCTGCAGCATCACGCGCAATATTGCAGCAATTTGCAGGCGTTGATGCCCAACCTGCAGGAATGCCGGAGGCATCACTCGCATTATTTCAGCAACTCTCAGGCGTTGATGCCTGCATTGCCAACCTGCAGGCATGCCGGAGGCATCACCCGCATCGTTCCAGCAATTGCCAGGCTTTGATGCCTGCAGTTGCCAACCTGCAGGCATGCCGGCGGCATCACCCACATCATTCCAGCAATTCCCAGGCTTTGATGCCTGCAGGTTGCCAACCTGCAGGCATGCCGGAGGCATCACCTGCATCATTCCAGCAATTTCCAGGCTTTGATGCCTGCAGGTTGCCAACCTGCAGGCATGCCAAAGGCATCACCAGCAACATTCCAGCAATTCTCAGGCGTTGATGCCTGCAGCAACCTGCAGGCATGCCGAAGGCATCACCCGCATCATTCCAGCAATTTCCAGGCTTTGATGCCTGCAAGTTGGCAACCATGCCGGAGGCATCACCCGCATCATTCCAGCAATTTCCAGGCTTTGATGCCTGCAGGCTGCCAACCTGCAGGCATGCCGGAGGCATCACTCGCATCATCCAGCAATTGCCAGGCTTTGATGCCTGCAGGTTGCCAACCTGCAGGCATGCCTCCTTCCAGCAATTCCCAGGCTTTGATGCCTGCAAGTTGCCAACCTGCAGGCGTGCCGGAGGCATCACCCGCATCGTTCCCGCAGTTTCCAGGCTTTGATGCCTGCAGGTTGCCAACCTGCAGGAACGCCGGAGGCATCACTCGCATTATCTGCCAGGCTTTGATGCCTGCAGTTGCCAACCTGCAGGCATGCCGGCGGCATCACCCACATCGTTCCAGCAATTCCCAGGCTTTGTTTGATGCCTGCAGGTTGCCAACCTGCAGGCATGCCGGAGGAATCACCTGCATCATTCCAGCAATTTCCAGGCTTTGATGCCTGCAGGTTGCCAAACTGCAGGCATGCCAAAGGCATCACCAGCAACATTCCAGCAATTCTCAGGCGTTGATGCCTGCAGCAACCTGCAGGCAGCCGAAGGCATCACCCGCATCATTCCAGCAATTTTCAGGCTTTGATGCCTGCAAGTTGGCAACCATGCCGGAGGCATCACCCGCATCATTCCAGCAATTTCCAGGCTTTGATGCCTGCAGGTTGCCAAACCTGCAGGCATGCCGGAGGCATCACTCGCATCATCCAGCAATTGCCAGGCTTTGATGCCTGCAGGTTGCGAACCTGCAGGCATGCCTGCTTCCAGCAATTCCCAGGCTTTGATGCCTGCAAGTTGCCAACCTGCAGGCGTGCCGGAGGCATCACCCACATCGTTTCAGCAGTTTCCAGGCTTTGATGCCTGCAGGTTGCCAACCTGCAGGCATGCTGGAGGCATCACCCGCATCATTCCAGGTTTGATGCCTGCAGGTTGCCAACCTGCAGGCATGCCGGAGACATCACCCGCATCATTCCAGCAATTGGAGGCTTTGATGCCGGTTGCCAACCTGCAGGCATGCTGGAGGCATCACCCGCATCATTCCAGCAATTCCCGGGCTTTCACGCCTGCAGGTTGGCAACCCGCATCATTCCAGCAATTCCCAGGCTTTGATGCCTGCAGGTTGTCAACCTGCAGGCATGCTTTGATGCCCAACCTGCAGGAATGCCGGAGGCATCACTCGCATCATTTCAGCAACTCTCAGGCGTTGATGCCTGCATTGCCAACCTGCAGGCATGCCGGAGGCATCACCCGCATCGTTCCAGCAATTGCCAGGCTTTGATGCCTGCAGTTGCCAACCTGCAGGCATGCCGGCGGCATCACCCACATCATTCCAGCAATTCCCAGGCATTGATGCCTGCAGGTTGCCGACCTGCAGGCATGCCGAAGGCATCACCCGCATCATTCCAGCAATTTCCAGGCTTTGATGCCTGCAAGTTGGCAACCATGCCGGAGGCATCACCCGCATCATTCCAGCAATTTCCAGGCTTTGATGCCTGCAGGCTGCCAACCTGCAGGCATGCCGGAGGCATCACTCGCATCATCCAGCAATTGCCAGGCTTTGATGCCTGCAGGTTGCCAACCTGCAGGCATGCCTCCTTCCAGCAATTCCCAGGCTTTGATGCCTGCAAGTTGCCAACCTGCAGGCGTGCCAGAGGCATCACCCGCATCATCTGCCAGGCTTTGATGCCTGCAGTTGCCAACCTGCAGGCATGCCGGCGGCATCACCCACATCATTCCAGCAATTCCCAGGCTTTGATGCCTGCAGGTTGCCAACGTGCAGGCATGCCGGAGGCATCACCTGCATCATTCCAGCAATTTCCAGCCTTTGATGCCTGCAGGTTGCCGACCTGCAGGCATGCCAAAGGCATCACCAGCAACATCCCAGCAATTCTTCGGCGTTGATGCCTGCAGCAACCTGCAGGCATGCCGAAGGCATCACCCGCATCATTCCAGCAATTTCCAGGCTTTGATGCCTGCAAGTTGGCAACCATGCCGGAGGCATCACCCGCATCATTCCAGCAATTTCCAGGCTTTGATGCCTGCAGGTTGCCAACCTGCAGGCATGCCGGAGGCATCACTCGCATCATCCAGCAATTGCCAGGCTTTGATGCCTGCAGGTTGCCAACCTGCAGGCATGCCTCCTTCCAGCAATTCCCAGGCTTTGATGCCTGCAAGTTGCCAACCTGCAGGCGTGCCGGAGGCATCACCCGCATCGTTCCAGCAGTTTCCAGGCTTTGATGCCTGCAGGTTGCCAACCTGCAGGCATGCTGGAGGCATCACCCGCATCATTCCAGGTTTGATGCCTGTAGGTTGCCAACCTGCAGGCATGCCGGCGGCATCACCCGCATCATTGCAGCAATTCCCAGGCTTTGATGTTCACAGGTTGCAGCTTGCAGGCTTGCCGGCGGCATCACCCACGTTCCAGCAATTCCCAGGCTTTGAATTCTGCAGGCTGACGCATGGATGTTCGCAAGACTTTCGAAATGCTCCTGCTGCAAAAAGCCTTCATATGGCTCAAAATGGGCAGCCCCAGGCAAGACCGAAAGTAGGTGTTCGCACAGTGTCTTGGCTGCCAGCTGGGTCTAAGCTGCGGAGGATGTAGGTGCACTCATCGAGATCGATGACGCCATCACCAAGCCAAGCAACTTCACCACCAACCAAATTGGCAGCTCAGCAGCGGCAGCAAACCAGCGCTCCTACAACCTTCCTTTGCTTCTCTGCTGGCCGCAAGCTGGCTGTGAAGGCAACGGGTGCGTTTGGCTCGCAGCCGCATAAGGTCTGAGTCCGGCACCGTTGGAGTCAAAATAGGAGAAGGCCTGCCGCGTGCCCTGCAACCCAACCCAAAAAGGGTACCCTCCAAAACACAACTAGAAAAACTGCCTCAAAACGCGCACAGTGTTCTAGAGCGCTGGAACAAGTGGCGTCACGTTGGTTTGCGTTAAGGGACGGCGAGAACTTGGAGTACGAGAACACAAACGGTTCGCCCACGCGCAACTCAAATAATGCATTCAGCAAATCGAGCCTCTAGCTTGATGCAGCAGCTAAACAATAACAAACACACTGCATGGTAGCATCTTTCTGAAGCAACATGGGAGAAGGCCGATTTGATCCTTGTCAGCTTTGGGCAGGAAGCATCGCTGTGCACGAGGAGTGGGCGTAAGTGCTGACCGCCTCCCTGCACCACATCAGCATCAGCATCAAGGAGCTGTTCCGAATGTGTAAGCAGCACCAAAAAATCCAGGGCAAGTACATGCACCCTCAAACCTCTATGGGCCTCCATGATCAAGCTTTGCCTATGTCCCAGTTGGATGGAAGCCCATCGGCAATATAGGCTGGCCATCCCCTTGTTTGCATCGGACGCCAGCATGCCTGCTACGCAACTGCCATGTTGAGATGACTGCCCAGAATAAATTCTTAGAGCCCCCCCGCCCAACCCAAAGAAAGCTCATATTTACAAGGTGATGCTTAAACCCTTCAATAAAGAAAACAACCAGTCTCATAAACCACCCTGGCAGATTGATGGGGCCGGGGTGGCCCCTCCACAAAGTGATTTGGATCCCCTCCGTCGATATTCAAGAAAACCCTGAGATGGAAACACGGCCTCCCACGGAAAAACAAGTCAGGAGAGAACCTCGGACTTGGACCCAACGCCCCGGGCGCAGAGCAGCGCACCCCAGATTTGTCCCTCGCGTCTCGATTCAGCGGTTCTGCTCGAAGGTCGGCCACCCGGGCTTGCAGTGGTGCTCCAAAGGCAAAGGGAAGGGGAAGAAGCACCGCACCTCCTCGCGAACGTGGCTGATGGCTGCCCTTCAAAAAATACCCAAAACGGCTGCCCTCAAAAACAAACACAGCCTGTAGCATTTGGCAAAGCTGGGCAGTTCCTCTGTTCTTGTTGAATGGTTTTGGAAGGATGGCCAACTATCAACCAACCTTGCGGAAAGGGCCACATGTTGGATCACAGGGAGTGGTGAGGATTCGACAGGTGGTCTCTTCCCATGGCTGAGATTCAATCTTCGCGTGTCCAAATGGTGCCCAAAGCAGCGGTCCAAAATGGGGCTTGAGACCCAGGCATGAACAGTGGACCATCCGAATGATCCGACCTGGGCAAAACAAAACATATCCGAGACTCTTCAAAGCACCACATTGGTGCTACTGGTACCTTAATCGCGAAACGGTGCATCCTTTACGCCGCATAAGGATTAGTGCCAAAATGGGAGGATTGCCCAGCTCCACTGGGCAGCTCCCCTCAGCAGCTGATGGGAGTAGAATTGATGCCACTCCCACAGCGAGGGAGGAATCCTCCCACCTCACCGGATGCCCTCCCGGCATCATGGGTGAGGAAGGAAAGTAGCGAAGATCAGCTTGATCAATTCGCTTTCGACTGAGGGGAAGACCCGGTTCTCAGTCGGAAATTGCGGGTCCGGATGAGTAAGTTCATCCGCCCATGTGTTAAAGTCGCGCTTCACATGCGACGGTCCTAACATGACCTGGTGGTCATGCAGTGTTAACACAATTTCCATGAGGATGGCCGCATTGGGCATCCTGCGAGTGGAATCGTTAAGCAGGGAGAAAACGTTTCCCTGGTTATCACTAGCAACCAGAATCCTAGTGTGAGAAGCCGAGCCGGCTGCACAAAGCAGAACAGCCCTCACCAAAAGGAGGAGGCCGAAGAGCTCCAAGGCCGCTATCGCCCGCTGCGGGTCCCCAGTAGTGAAGGCCCACGGCTCGCCCTCCGGTGTGATTCTGTGTTGGAACCACTTCACTCGGGACTTGTCGGGGTTGGGCACGTCCGAGCACCAACCACCAACCCATGCATGGTCCGCCTGTTTGCCAGCTCCCGCATCAGATGCCCCCGTCCATGGAAGTGTGGGAGCAAATGGAGATGCCAGTGGGAACCTCTGGTTGAAGAGCTTCCCCAGAAGGATGGCCAGAGCACGAACCAGCTTCGGTGGCCTGCCCGAAGTGGTGCAGGCCTTCTTCCAGCTCCAAAAGGGCTGGAGGAAAGGTTTCGTCAATGGACACGCCGAAGTAGCCCATTGAATCCGGCCCAGGGCTTGTTCCACCTCCTTGCTGGTAAAGATGTCCCCCTGGGCCAGCCGTTTGAGAGTGGCCAGGATTATGACGTGCTTGACTGGAGCCAGCAGCACACAGGGCGTGATTGGGTCCACCACGAATCCCAACCAGGTATTGACCGGGGAGAGCGCCGTCTTCTTCCAAGAAAGCGGGACTCCCAGCGCCAGAAGAGTGGCCAGGATGGCTGTGGCGTCCCAGTCCGCCCTGCTGCATCTGAGGACCCAGCAGTAGTCGTCCACAAAAACTAAGTGCCAGTCCACCTGAGGGAAGATGTAGTACAAGAGTCTGAGCACCAAGGATGCCTTTCTTCCCCAGTACAGTTGTGCCGAGGCCATGCCGTACGTGCCCACTCTATTGACCCACCACCGGTTCTGGATGCAGGCCACCTGGTATTTCCAGTCTTTCTGGAGCACTTTTATGCGCCTGTGGGCCTTGGTGACATCCGCCTTGAGGATGATGAAGGTTTCCCCCTGTGTCGGCGGCTGCCACGTCAGGGGTTCCCCCCTGCTCCCCCCAGGGCGTTCCGTGCCTGGGGGGGTTGGGGGGAATGGGGCCCTCCTATCAGGGCCCTCGGCACCTGGGAGTGGCCCCTTCCCTGAGGGTGTTGACCGCGGAGAGACGTCGGCCGCCGGAGGTCATCATCCGCCTGCCCCTATCAGGGCCCTCGGCACCTGGGGGCAGGCTGGTGCTGTGGGGGTCCCTCTCAGGGCCCTCGGCACCTGGGGACTGCCCCTGCACCGGCTGGTGAACATCCCGAGGTTCCTCATCAGTGCCCGAGGATGGGGCTCGGAGTAGATGAGGATGGTCCGCCGCTGTCCTGAGCCAGTGGATGGCATGGAGGCAGTCTCCAACCATCGGTGCGGTGGTCTTCTCCTCCGTGTGAGCCTGGATGTGTGCGTTTGCTCCCCCTTTTGAGCCATCATAGATCGTCCTGATCTTGTCCGACTCATCAATCCCTGCAAGGGGGCCCGGGCAAAGTTCCTCCGGTTTGCAGCGGCACCTCTCTGCCGCCTCGGAGCGAGTGAAGGGCCCGTCCACCATGTCCAAGGCTCGTTCCTCGTAAAAGGTTGATTCGATTTCCTTGGCAAAGAGTTCAGCCGTTGGGTAGTTATCATGAGCCACTGGCGGGGGGGGATCTTCCCCCAGCCAGGCTTCTCCCTTAAGCTCCTCCTTAGTGGGCCAAACTCCCGGGGAGGTCAAGGTAGGGTCCGAGACTCCCAAGGGGACCCCCTCTTTCAGTGTTAGGGGGAACTCCCAATCAGGGTCACCTGAAAGGGATGCCAAGTGCGACACTAAGTCCAGGAGGAAGGGTTGTCCTGGGCATCGTTCATGGAGGTGCCTCGGTCCTAGGATAGCCCGCAGCTCCTCGAGGTCGGCTTCCTGGAAGGGGTGTGTGGTGGCACCTGATGCCAGGGACATTCGGACCTTGTCAATCCAGGGCCGGGTAAGGGTCATGATCAGGGCGCCCAAAGTAGCCAATGGGGAAATTCTCCGAAAAGGGGGGTTGAGCCTCCCTAGGGAAGGTTTTCCCCCATCCCTGAGGGGGCGTGAGCGGAAACCCAATTGGACAATCGCCACCCGGTCAGTGAGGTGTGGGACCCTGAAAGCGGGCAGGCATTCGGGGCGGTCCAGGACCTGGTCCCCCTGTCCCTCCTTCCCCAGTTGTTCCGCATCTCCGGCCATCGGGGGCATGGGAGATGGGAAGTCTGGGTTCATTGTTCCACGAGGGCTTACGGTGTCTGCCTCAGGGTGGAACTGCCCGTGCAGGCGGGGCTTCGGGGCGTTCTTGCCTCCGGGCTTTGAGCCCTGGTGTGATGAGGAGGGACCGCCTCCTTGACTGGGCCCCCGTTTTCCCCGGGGGGAATGGCCTTCCGGGGGGTCCGACCCCCGCCCCTTAGGTGGTTCCTTGGGGTTTCCCGGAAATTGTGAGGGGATCCGGCCATCCTCGGCGGAACAAGGATGGGGACGGCAGAACCAGCGTGCACAACGCCCTCGCCGTGATCAGAACAGCCACACAACCGGCACAACGGCGGCGCCTCAGTCCCGAGCCACAGGTGCCGAGGGCCCTGATATGGCGGGGACGGGACGGTTCCCCGCAGGTGCCGAGGGCCCTGACACGGGGGGCCGCACCCAGAAGGCCCGAGTGCCGGATGACTGGCAGCACACCGCAACGCCAAGGGACACTCCCAGGAAGCAGCCGATCCCACTTCCGGCGCCCAACATCATCAAGCAGGACCCGGTGGTTTTCCACAAGAGTCGAAGGGGGCCAACGCCTTTCAGCTACCCCCCTGACAAGTCCAACGGAGCCGTCACCGGGATTGGACATCTTCCCGTGGATGGAGAACATCCCTTGTCCTGCTCTATGCAGGCAAGGAAGACCCAACTTCCTTGGACAGCTGTCTTCATGCCAACTACCCACACCTTTCCAGCATGGTGGTGGCGGTAGACATCCTACGGTCTGGACCAAAAGGGGACCACGATATGCTCCAACCCGAGCTGTATGGAGCTCTTTGCACGGCAGCAAAGCAGGGCCGAGTGGTCTTCATTGGAGGAGGACCCAACTGCAGGACATGGTCCATCCTGCGCCACATACCAAAACCGGGGGCTCCCACCCCGGTGCGAGGGCGCACTCCAGAGACACTTTGGGGCCTTCCACACCTGGACCAGGCCGCCCAGACTCAACTTGATGATGACAGCATCCTCATTCTGAGACAGATGTACATCACCAGCCTGGCAAGGGCCTCACGAGCGGCGGTTTCTCTGCCAGGGCCCAGGTCCTTCCTGGAACACCCGGAGGACCCAGTGGTGAGCAGCTCGCTGCCCAAAGCCAAGGAATGCTCATCCTTCTGGATCACAGAGGAGGGGCAGCTTTGGATGGAGGAGAACTCCTTGACAGCAATCTCCTTCGACCAGTGCCGCCTGGGCCAGCTGGTCAAGAAGGCCACTACGCTGGCCACGGATCTCCCGATCCAGGACTGGGATCAAATGCGGTGCACGCATCAGTCACATGTGGGCACCAACGAGTCCTCGACTCTTAGCAGATACCCTTGGGATATGATGGCAGGCCTGGCCAAAGCCATCGCTGTGTCACTCGCAGCGCCGGGGCACATCCGCCACCTGGCCTGTCCCCCCCCTGTGTCAGGGCCCTCGGCACCTGCAGGAGGGGGCTTCTGTGCCTGCTTGGGGCGTTTGCGCCCCTTCTCGCCGCCCCGGGCCTTATCAGGGCCCTCGGCACCTGAGGCCTCCCGGGGGGTAGGGGTCAGCGCCCCTAGTCAACCCGGGCAGTCCTGCGGGAGGTGGTCCCCCAGGCAGATGCGGCCCATTGCCAGGATGAGGTTGCACTTGTGGGTGCGGCCGCAGTTGCCCGGGCAGCGCCCGCGCATCCAGTTGTTACAGAACTGGTTCCCTTTCGGGTCGGTGGCTGCCTGCTTGTTACCGCCCCGGGACGCCTGATTGTTCAGGTGGGGGGTCTTACCCTTCCCTTTGTTCCCAGGCTTGCCCTTGGACTTCCCCTTGCCCTTGGACTTGTTCTTGCCCTTCTGAGGTGGTGCGTAGTCCATGGATGTCCTGGTTGATGGGCGGCCCCTGGAAAAGGTCTTGATCTTCTCATAGACCTCACGTGTCCAGAACAATGTGTCCTGCCTGACCGACAGCATGGCCGCCTTGAGGGTGTTGCCCTCATGCATCTTCTCGTGAATCTTTCGCCATG